TCGTAAGAGTTAGCCAGACTGTAGGTTGCGGTATTATGCTAAAAATACCCCAAATAGAACGGTTCCGGTGCTCTGGGCGTTCTAGTAATTTCTGGAATTAATCAGTCAGTAGATCTCCCATTTACACAGTGCGTGCTATATATCCACCTTTAAAGAAGGCGAGTCATGAACTGTTAACTTGAAGAACGGCTTGGCCACGAACAGGTAAATTATCACAATATTTAACACTACTGGTCAGCTCCGGCACATCTCTTAAGTATCAGACCATTACAACTTCTCTGTCCGTGGGTCAGATTGTCATTTTCCAGATGGTACGTTATCGTTCTGCCACCCCCTTCCATTATCCTGGTAACAATAGTTTACAGGTAAAACAACCTATTATTTACTTTGCACAACTACCTACTTATTTAGCAGTAGTAAGCATGTATGTTTAGACTTATTTTGTGCTTAATTTCCTCAGGTTTTGCGTACTCGCATGTGCCTCCGCAAGACTGGCCAGTACTCCTCCATCCTCGACTGCGGTCGCAAAATCTACCGTGAAATTGGCTTTGTCGGCTTCTACCGAGGCTACTTCGTCAACGTAGCGGGCATCCTTCCCTATGCGGGCATTGAGCTGGCTACTTACGAGGTGCGTGTCTGTATGTAGGTAACATTGTTTTTTCAGCTCCCCTTCGTTACTGATCTTCCCTCTCTTCTGGTGGTGTTCTTATCACCTGATTTGTCAACAGCACTGAGAGCTTTGCTCCATCCTCTTCACGTTCTGCGCGGCTACCACTGTTGCAAGCGCGCGGTCCCGCTGTAACATTTGACTCGTCTGTTTCCACGTGCTCTATTCCCTTCCCCCCCCCCTACCTGCACCCCGCGCCGACAGAGCTCTGCTCTCAAGTTAGTATAAGCAAATTTGTGTGGAATTCTAAACACTTAGCCTCATTCGCCGTGGTAGTGTTTTTCAGTGGCTCTTGTACAGCATACAGCCTTAATTTACCGGATGAGTGGGTTGTCGAACTACGGCCACTCCTATATGTCTTAAAAAACTATAATTACCACTCGCACCACTACTACTACTATTAACATCAAACTAAGTAGCGTGTATGAC